AGTGGGAAGAGTAATCAGGTGGGCACATAGTTAGGCATGAAAGATGCAGTGCCTCCCCTGCACTAACCCACTGTGCATCTATGTCTATTTTTGAGTTCTACCTAGCGATCGGGATCATGGTAACACCAGCTGGTATTTCGCCATCTGAGCCAGGAATATTAAACACTAATGGTCCTTGTATCCCGTTCCCCAACTCTTCTGGGCTTTGTCTTTTTAGACTGTAAGTGCTTCAGAGCAAGCCCTTTGTCTCCCTACGTGTTTGCTCAGCACGTAGCACATATTGAGTGCAGCCCCAGTATAAATAAATAATATTAAACATGCACAGAGCTAAGTGGTCAGTGCTGCAAAGCAAGCCTGGCTTCTGTTTCCAAGGCTAAATCCTTCGACGTAGTACATGTATCTAAATATATCAAATGCAATTAAATTCATAAATTGGGATTTTTCTTTTTGCTCATTTACCCCTTGCTGGTCATAGGTATTTCAGTACAGGGGGGTATAAAATCCGCTCACCTGTACTAGCCTGTAAGAAAGACATAACAGAAGGACAAATGTTGCAGTACTATTGAAACTGTTTTCATGAAGGATTTGTTGGTTTTAGCCTGTAAAACTGACCATATAGTTTACGAACAGCAAGTTATCCAGTGCACTGTGGAGGTACAGTGGCCAGTTTCATAGGAGCATGTTCTCTGATAGTCAGCCATTTGTGTGCATGATTGAAGTCCACTGAAAGTTAGGAGGGAGGGTGGTTTCATTTTTACCACAAAGCTTCATTTCAGTTCTGTAAACTAGCTTAATATGGTCAACTGTGGGTCTTTCCTCCATCTCCTAGTTGGCTGCCTCTTCTGTCACTTTCAGCAATATTCTCTGTTGGTTTCTTACTTAAATGTTCATTAAGACATTTCTTAATTCACAAAACATTGGTGCTAATACGAATATTCCTGTAGCCTGCATAATTGTTGGCTCCTGGCTCCATTGCTGTGGGCAATATGGATTTTGATAGCATGGTGCTACTACTCCTTCAGTCTGGGGCACAGAGCTCCCATACTGGATGTGCTGCTGGTGGGACTTACAATGACTAAGGCTATGGCTTAACAGCACATCCGGACAGTCTGTGACAATAGGAGAGGGACGGGGGCGGGGTGAGGAGACTTCAACTTTCTACCCAGGTTGTAGTTAGCATTTGCATAGTGCTTTTCACCTTCAGATTGCTTTACAAAACACAGGAGCTTTTGGGGGCCCATCAGCAGTTTTCAATGCTTCAAAATTTGAACCTGTTGGGTATTTTTGTGTGTGTGTCTACATTATAAAAAACTGTTCTCGTGCTATTGTTTCAGAGCGATTTCATCAAGTTTAGCCTAAAACCGGAGATCTGAATCATTACCCTTATCTTATAGATGGGGAAAGCTGAGACAGGGCAGTTGGGACTTGTCAAAGGGAATGAGTGTTAGAGCCAGGATTACAACAGTGACTCCCAGACTAATAAACCTCACTGCCTCTCTCCAATGGTGAAAGCAGCCAAGGGGACAGATGAAAAGCAAGGGATGTCTCCGAGTGTAGGAGGAGATCTCCTTAACTCTGTTGACAGCTGACCCAAAGGCAGCTGATATAAAATTAAATGTGGGTTGGCACTGAGGAGCAGAAGTAAGGGAGATTTTTGGGCACAGGCCTAGTTTGGGGAGGGACAGGGGGATGTTGCCCCCCACCCCCCAAAAAAAACCTGCAAGCCTTGGGCAGCCACAAAATTTCTCTTCCCTCCCCCTGCCCCTCCTGTGCGCAGCCACATTGGCCTGACTGGAGCTGCCCCCCCCAAATATAGAAGTCAAATTACACCTATGGTTTTGGGTAGAGTCAGGGCTATAAAGGGAAGGAGGTGAGGAAGGAGAAAGGTGACAGTGATCAGAAGATGAAGCAACTCAATAAGGCATAGGCACAGCCTGGCGTTGCCAATAATTCGTTTTATTTCCCCTTACTTTGCCTAGGTGAGGTAGCAGAAGTGAGCCTTCAGGAGGGATTTAAATCGTGCAAGTGACATGGCTTGGCCAGCAGACTCAGGGAGGGGGTGCCAAATATAAGGGGCAGCATGGAAGAAGGTGAGGAATCAGCTGTGGGAGGAGGATCCCGAGATTGGCATCACTGGTAAAATCAGGGAGGTTGGGAGGAAATATGAAAGGAGATAAAGTTCAAGTCGTAGGCAGGGGCTGTCTGAGCTAAAACCTTAAGGGCAAGATCTGTGAATTTGCTCTTCAGTACAATGTTGATCCAGCCAAGTGCCTCATACAGAGGATGTGTCATGGTGAAGCCATGGGCTAGAGATGGTTGTGGCAGTAGCATTTTAGATGGACTATAGAGGAGTCAGGTTCACAAAAGGCTTAGAATTCGATCTATTATATGTGAGAAGTAAACCCGGTACTAAATTTCCGCAGAACAAATGAGGTAATGATAAGAGAGATGGTGCACAGTGTTAGCTGGAACTCAGTGTTAAAGAGACACTGATAAGGGAAATTCAGAGTTAAAAATTCCCTTGCCTTATATTAATACTGTAGATTATTAATCCTGAAAAATGTTCACAGTCTCATTTACTTCCTGTCACTGCTATTTCCTTATGTTTTGCAACTTACTTGGTCAGGACAGTGAAACTAGACCCGATTAATTTCACAGCAAGTCACCGTCCCTTTTTAATTCTCAGACACTAGCACAAGTTTGTTGTCATTGGGTTCACAACTAGGCAGGACAATATTTAAAGAGCCACCATCCACTTAAAACTTTCACCCTCTGTCTGAACGTTGTTGTTTGAAGCTGGTGTTGTTGCAAATAATACGTTGGGTGATTAGAAATTAATAAGATGAGTGGGGGAACAGTATTTTTCTCTCCTCTGTCAGTTTGTGTGCTTTATGTGTTTAACAGCACTTTGTGTAGGGTCAGTTTCTTTATTCCCCCCTTGTGTAGACAGCCAGCTTCCCACGTTGTTGTGTGGCTCTGTAACACAGCAGTAGCAGGAGAGAAAAAACATTTAAAAAAATAGGAAAATATGACTGTAAAATCACCAGGCTCCAAAGGAGGGCTGGGAGACAAATGTGGGGCCTCTTAACTACTTCTAACAAGGTGTGTGAAATTGACTAGATTTTAAGTAGTTGATGTATGTTTAAATTTAAAAAAACAAACAAACAAACAAAAAAACACTTTGACATGGGAACATAAGACTGGAAAGGGCCTTCTTGGATCCACTCCCTTGTTATTGCAGGCCACTGCCTAATTTATATTAACAAAATAATGACCGTAATACTAACTTTCCCTTTTAGTAGCACCTTACTTGGTCAGCTGGGACTCCAGGCATTTTACAAACATTAGTTAGTTCAGTCTCACAATGCCCATGGAAGTTTATAATAAACACATTTCTATTTGGACTAGGTTTTGTTTCACTCCCTGTTTTGATTAACAGATTCTAAATTCTGGATCTAAACTAAGTTGACCGTGTCCCTCTCGGAAAGGGAAAGCAGGGCAGTCCCTTTGTAATTAAAGAGTAAGATTAGCCCAGTAAAAGGAGTGGTGTGTCTTTAAATCCACACAGTGCAGGGTTCATGTTAGCAAAAGGACTCAATGGACAGAGAGATGGGGGGGTGTTGGGAGTGTGGATTGCATCACACTCACTCTAGTGGGAAATGCCACAAAAGCTGCCGGGAATATCTTTTTCATAACCAATGTTTTGGTGAGTATTGAGCACCTAGACAAACCCCCATTGTTTTTCCATGCTCTGTGCAGGAAGTAGGATAGGTGTGAGCAAATTATTGTTCACATTAGGAAGTAGCAAAATGGAGCTCTTCCACATGCACAAAAGAGGGGATCAGGGTTTCTTTTTGTTTCATCAATTATTGGAGATTCTCAGCACCTCACAGGATTGTGGCCTGAGTGCTAGCCAGCACAAGTCAGGGGAGAGAAAATTTCTGAATTCCCTGTGATTTCTTTCCTGTTCCTCTTTTTGTCTTGGCAACCCTCCTCCTCGGTCATGAACTAGTGCTTGTGTCTCAGGAAGACTGGCTAATGATCCCATGTCCTGGTTTAAGAGCAACATGTGGCTCATATAATCTTTCAAAGCAGTAAAGAAACTGCAAGGCAGTGCCAGGGCCACTGGGATCCCTGAGGACTTGCTCCCTTATGGCCCCAGGCCTTTGTTCATGCTTTTCTCTTCCCTCAGGGAAATGCTGAGGGCTGTCTCTGTCTCCCTTAGTATTAGGGATCTCCCTTCTTGGGCTGTGTTAATAGCAGTCACTTGGCTAAGGAGAGCCCAGTTTCCAGTCGACGAGAGAGGAGAGAAGGGACAGCTACGTGTTGCTGGGCCAGCAGCTCTTATCTTTCTCCTTCCCCTGTATCTTTCATAACGTCACATACTGGCATTTTTCCCTGTCTAATTTTAAATATCCTGAGCTCTGGAGCTTCCACCCCATTCCTTGGGAGGCTATGCCAGATCTTGTAGCTTTCACTGTTAAGAAATGTTTACTGATGTTCAGCCTACATTTCCAGTTGTCCAATACCGTTCCCTTCCTTCTAGTCAGACCCCCCCTTGCAACTCCCCATAGAATTCCTCTCCCTACTTAATGTTGGCATCCTACAGATGTCTGCAAGCCGTTAACTTGAAATACATTTTAGACAGTAAAGCCATAGGACCCACGATGCATCTGCTGGAAGCTCCAAGAGGATCAATATGGTCTGTAGTGTAACCTCGTGTCTTGTGTGGAAAGACTCGTGCAGATTATGGACCTGATCTGATTCCTATTAAAGTAATTGGGGGTTGGATCGGGCCATAAGGGCACTCACCCTGCCTCTGCCCTACCAGTAATCTAAGGACAGGTGCTAACGCCCACTCCTAGTGTCATAGAGAATTCTGCCTGAGCACCTTGAATTAACAGGCTTTTAGCTGGGAGTTTGGCCAAGCGGGTATGTCTCTAAGATGAGTCCAGCCAGGCCACAGCATCCACGGGGTTTTATTCTTTGAACCCCTGCAGATTCAGCAGTGTGTTCCCCAGCCTGAACATGGCAGTGAAGAGACGTGAGCAGACTCTGCAAGACTACAAGCGGCTGCAGTCCAAGGTGGAAAAATACGAAGAGAAGGAGAAGACCGGCCCCATCCTTGCCAAGCTACACCAGGTACAGAGCTGGGAGACGGGTGCATACTGCTGGGGTTGAAAAGCTCTGGAGAGAATGTTAGGGCACCCCCTGTGTGCAGGGTGACACACTACAATTTCCCTTATGTATGTTTCATCCTGACATGCCAAGTATTGTTGAAAGGTGTAAGCGCCAAGTTATTTAGCACAGTAACTGGGAATAGTGTGATGAAATTAAGACAGAGAAAATCTAGGCATCGAAGATCTATTAAGCTATGGAATAGACTCACAAGGGAAATGATCGGAACACCATTGCTTGGGACATTTAAAACTAGACAGGGGAAATCCCTTGTAAATGTACACTTGGGTAAAACCCTGCCTCAGCAGGGAAATGGACTGAATAATCTTTTGTCTTTCCTAAGTTCTGTATCTAAATTCCCTAAAGTATAGGCTAATTTATTCAGGGTTTCGGGGCAATGTGCCATTATTTTTTTAATATTAAATTGACATGCGCAATGCTTGGTAAATTAAGAGCACTCAGTCTGAGACCAAACAGACTGTTCTTTCCAAACTAAAGCCCACAAGAACTGGAGATAACTGTAAGAGCACATTAGGAGACAGCATTCCCCTGAACTTCAGAATTTGACTAAACAGCTATAAAAAAAATCATAAAATTCTACACATTTGCCACCTGATACAAAGCTTAGTCTCACAAAATTGCAATAACTGGTTAACATGAAACCTCACCAAATTCTTACGTCTTTCTGAAATTCGAGCAAAGTTGTTGGGTTTTGTTTTTACTAAATCTTCCCTGGCATTCCCAGCAAAAATCTGTCATTTCTACAAAACATTCGCTTGACACCACTAAGGAATAGTCGCCTTCATCAGAGTGGAAGAACACTACCGGTTTGCTCACTTTCCCCACCAAATGAAGTATTGTGTTAAAGAACAGCCCTATCAGCATTAACAAAAGAGAATTCAGACTTCATCGTAAGCAGCTTACGCTGCTCAGCCTCAGTGACTAAAGCTATGGCTGGAAAAATGGGAGTTCTTTTGTCCTGGTGATTAAGTCGGTTTTATTTTTTCCTAATGAACTTCTGGTACGATCTAATTTTTTTCCCCATGAAAATCTGAAATAAATAATCAAAAGTCTGAGCTTGGACACCTGAGATAGCCAGAGCTGCTGTTGGAGAGGACCTAAAGCCAGGCTATTCAAGAGAGATCCAGATATTTGGTAGGGAGTTAGCCTAGTCTCATAAGGTATGTCCATCCGGCCTAAAATATACATTGGGCCTTTTAGAGCTGTTTACCCAAGCCCTCAATTTTTGGATGCAGGAAGCTTCCTGAATTAACCCTCCTTTCCCGTGAGTTGGAACACTCTCAGCCTCAGTTTGAGTAGCTGGATTGGTGTCAGACAATGCATTTGCCCCTTTCGAGCCTGGTGTCATTTTAAGATCTTACTAGCCGGAAGTTATGCCTGCTCCATATCTCTAGCGTGCTTTCCCAACAAAGGCCCGGAACCTGTCTTAACACCAATCTGTCCATAGGATTAGACACCGCCAGAGCAGGACCAGCATGTGGAATCTCACTGCTAGCCCACACCCCCTCCCTTTGGAATTGCACCAGGATTAAGTGGCAGACTTGAACTTGTCTAATGTTTCAGCACCCACCCCCTCCTGCCCTTTTCCACACCTTCTGAGAGACATTTCCCTTTCTCCCCACGCTTCTGTTTAAAGATCGCCAGTAGGACTCTCCAAACTGAAGGTCACTAAGGTTAGGGGAGCAAACCCTGAGGGCGGACAGAAAACCATCAGAGTCGCGGCGCTAGCAGGCCCGAGAGCCAAGCCTTAGCTCAGCTTGGCGTCTCACCTTTACTTCCAGCAGCATAGCAAAGTTGCTTTGCTGGCCAAGTCACACCCCCATGTCTGAATATGGGGTCATAGCACCAGCATGGGCCCCTAGTATGGCATGGGCTGTAGGGTCCTTCAGAACTTTTCACAGTTATCCCAGCGAGAGAGAAATCTGCCAATGTCCTAGTGAGACACCACAGGGCTGCAGCCAACAGATTAACATTGTCCTAGAGCTGCTAGTTAAAGGATCTTGTGTCACTTTTTTGAGGGCCCCCGTGTATAGCCTTCATTTCTCTTTGAGAGGCAGGAGAAGGAACAATTTTTTTGATGCCTCCCAGCAGGTCATCTGTACCTTGCTGCTCATAGAAAAGCAACTTTGATGCATATTTATAGTACCACATAGAGGAGACTGGCTAAGGAAAGCTCTTAATGTTTGGTGTCGAAAAAACCACTGTCCTAAGCCAGCTTCCTGGAAGTTCATACATAGGTTTGTTTTGGAAAGGGGGATTTTTAAGGCAGCTGAGCAACCTCCCCTCTCTCATTCCCCAGGCCCGTGAGGAGCTGAGGCCGGTAAAGGAGGACTTTGAAGCCAAAAACAAGCAGCTTCTGGAGGAGATGCCCAAGTTCTACAGCAGCCGCATCGACTACTTCGAGCCCAGCTTTGAATCGTTGATCCGTGCTCAGGTGAGACCCATAGTGAAACCTCTCCCTGCCCTCATGTCAAATCCCTTAAAATGCTGGGATGTATGAATGCGGGGAAAGGAAGTCACAGATGAACAACAGCAATCCTGTGTTTTAAGGTAGTTGTTCATCTCTCCTTACTCCTGGTATCTGTGCCTTCCCTTTCCCTCCCCCACCTCAAGAACATGTGATCCCAGCATGAAACAATTTTGAAACTGCTAGAACCCTTTCCTTGAGAATTTTTTGTTTGCCAATTGCTCTTGCCCCCGAAGCTAGAGCCAACCCTGGTCCACCTCTGCTGGCTTTGAGTCATCTTGGTAGGGTTACTTGGCCCTTCCATAGCACCCTCCGTCTCAAAGCACTTCAGACACATGCAGGAGGTGAGCAGTGTTTCCCCATTTTGCAGATTGGTAATCTGACTTGCAACTTAGCACTGACTCATTAAGGCAGGAGTCCTGACTCTGACCACTGAACTGCAGTGTCCCCAGTTTGGGGGGGGGGGGGGCGATTATGTGCCTCAGTCTGTAGAGCTCCAGGGTCCTGGTTGTTGTCTGGTGCAGCATGCACCAGGCTTCTTTCCTGTCTCGCTGCAGAAGTCCCATCGCATTAACTAGGCCTGTGTGCAAGTTGCCAACATTGCTATTTTTCATAAAAGGATCAGAGCGCCCTCTAGTGAACATGCTCATGCCTGTCCTTTGAGGAAGGTGAGAGCGTAGAAGTGCAGCTTCATGGGGCATCACTTGGATCCTCTAGTTGGTGGAGTGTGGAGCGTGGAGCGAGCCTACTCAATAAGAAAAATGGAGACGTATGGTCACGTATGGTCACAGCTGTGAGTGAGTTGGTGGCACAATATAAGGATATCACTGGGAGCAGAGCTCAGCCCCCCTCCTTCCTGCCAAAACAAACAGGTTCTTCAGTGTGCTGGGGAGAGTCCATCTCCATGGTGACAGTGTGTGTATCTGACTTCAGCTGGTGAGATCAGTCTGAGTGGAGACGCTCCTGTGGCTGGGCTGAGACCACCTGGAACAGGACAGTAAAGCATGGGGGAAGATTCTTTGGATCCTATAAGTGGAGTGGAACATGGTTAACTTTTCCCTTCTCTCCCCAGGTTGTGTACTACACTGAAATGCACAAGATCTTCGGAGACCTGACAGAGCAGATTGATGAGCCAGGCCTCACAGATGAGCAGAGGGAGAAAGAGAATGAAGCCAAGCTGAGCGAGCTGCGGGCCCTGTCCATTGTGGCTGATGACTGACCTCCCCACCCATGCTGGGGGAACCTTCTCAAAGGCTGCTGCTGTCTGATGACAAGAACAGGGTGGAAATCTCTAGGTTTTAACCTGTGCACAGCTGCCTGCTGCTCTCCAGCTTTGAACTCCTTAGAAGACAAGGTACAACTTTTGAGGGGTGGTAGGGAAACTACCTCATGCAATGGGCCGGCCTAAAGATGCCCTGTTTTAACTGCAAACAACAATGTACACATGGTTTTCCTGTAGCACACAACTATTTATTAAGAATTAAAAAAAAATTATACAAAGTCATCTCAGTGGGAAAACAAGAGACAAAAATAGCCACAGACAAGTGAAGAAGAGAGATTTTTTTTTAAACCTTTCCCATTAAATACAAGTTGTTACCACATTTGTTGTCTAAAGCACCACAAAGTGCAGATGGCAGACCTTCATCTTAAGACCCTTGTGTGTTTATTGTAAAGGGGAGGCATGGGCAGTAGCGCTCACAGCCATCACTTACCAAAGGCCTTTTTTTTGACAACCTTGGCTGTCACTGGCACACACTAGGCTGTGAAAACACTGTCCTGTTCCCCCATAATGGGAATCCAGCTCAAGTCTCCCTCAGGCAGTGAAAGGGTTCTTAGTTCCTCAGCATCTATGCCCCTCACTGACCTTGCCATTTAGTCTACGCTCATGACAGGGCACAGACTCTGCTCTCTCCTGGCACGCTATAGCTTCAGGGATCCACAGGTGTCAGTTGCTAGATGATGGTTCCTCCTCCTTCTTCTCTAAGCAGTTATTAGTCTGGAAGAGAGAAGGACAGCAGGCATAAGCCAGCAGGGCCTGCCCATTCGCTTCAGAAAGGCAGGCATGCCCGCCCGCCCGCCCCCCAAAAAATCAAATGTAAGAGGAGACAGCATAGATTGATACCTTCTCAATGATCTTCTGGATCTCCAGCTGCAGTGGAACAAGGCGCTTTTTGTTCTCCTGCAGCAGCCTTTGGAAGTGGGATTTCTGCCTCTCTGCCAATTTCACCTGCTCCTCCGTATCAGCTAGCTGCTTCTGTACAGCCTGCAGCTCAGTGGTCAACACCTTGTTTGATGACTCTGTCGCTGAGTAACGGGTCTGGGCTTCCTCTGTGGGCAGAGAACACATTCAGCCCCCCCTATGACTCCCTGGTGGGCCCACACATACTCTGTCACCACCCCAGTAGTGCACTGGCTCACCCAGCTTGACCTCCAGAGTGTGGATTTTGCTCTCCAGGTACAGGCGGCTACTCTCAGTCTGCTCTGCCTTCTCCAGCAGCTTCCCCACATTGAGGACAGTCCCATTGTGGGAGATCAGGTCCCCATGCTCCACCACTGCCTTGGGCTGAGTAGAAACCTCAGCCACAGAGTTTGAGGCAGGCAGCAAAGAGAGGTTTCCTGAAACAAGAGCAACCAACCTAGTGGTGACTTTAGCCTCTGGGCACCTGTTACCATGGCCCACGTGTCCAATAACTAACTACTTACCCAAGAGCCCTTCCTCAGGGACATGGTCAGCACTGTCCTGGCGGTTGTAGTGCAGGCTCCGGTACTGGCACACGTACTGAGTCACTACTCTGTTCACAAGCTGCTTCACCTGTCAACAAATCAGCACACACCACTCAGCACAGTAACTTTCACAATGGAGTGCCCCCCGAGGGTCAGCCACAAGCTGGTGCTCACCTGCTCTTTGCAAAGATGTAACCCCAGTGTCATGAGGATCTTCTCCAGGTCTCTTCTGTGCAGGTAGCCACAGAAATTCAAATCAAAGTAGATAAAGGCCAGGAGAGCATCCAGGGGCAGCACAGCACTTGGGTCCAGCTCCTTGGGCTGCTAAGGAACAAACCATTGGTTCAGGGCAGCCCTATTTCCCCCCACCCTCCTTAAGACTAGTCAGTCCGGGTTGCGGTGGCTTACTGACCAGGTCCTGGAGCGATGAGAACTCCATCTCTGACTGGTTGGAAGCAATGGATCTCACCTCTGCATCATCTAACTTGACACCTGCAGGGGACACAAACAAGGCAAGTTTTCTGCACAACCCAACTAGATGCACGTGCCACCCATGCTGTGCACCAGACCTACCAAAGTCCTCCTCCTCATCGTCTCGCAGCAGCAAGAGGTCATCCTCCAGGCTCAGCATGCACAGCTCATCAGTTGAGTCTTTAGGCTCCACTTTGCTGGCCTTCTCATCCTCTTTGGCCACCTTGGGACCCTCACTGCATGCTGGCTTCTGCTCTGCCCCTTCCTCCTCCTGATGGGTCTGTGAACAGGCAGGAGAAAGTCAGAAGTGCTCTGTAGTCTCAGCTGAGACCCTGGGGAAAGGAGTGTAGCAGGGACACACCTGCACAGGCTCCTGCTCACTGGTTGCCTCCTCCTGGGCCTCTTCCTTCTGCACTTTCTCATGCTCAGCTGGCTTCTCTGACTCCAGGTTCTTTGCCTCTGATGGCTCTTCCTTCGCTGGCAGAGCCAGCAGCGCCTTGTAAAGCTTGTAGCCAAAATCTCGCTGCAGCATCTCCTGGAAAAGCTCTGCCACCACCGCCACCTTGGGGAGGGAGATGGGCAGAGAGAATTGTAAGTGCAGCGCCCCAAGCAACTCTAGGTGCCATCATGCACGGCAGCTCCCTTGGAGCCTACCTCAAATGAAAGCTTTTCCCTCCGTCTCCTGTACTCCAGCAGGGTGCAGAGTGAGATGTTGGAGCAGCTCGGCTGCCCACCCTGCATTGCTGGTTTGGGGTGGGCGATGATGGCAGGTTCCAGGGGGGGAGTGGGAGTTGGAGTTGGAGCTGGCTCAGCAGCAGCATTAGTGGCATCCACGTCCTGTGCACTGGCCTCCATTTCCTGGTCTGGGGCCGCATCTGGGATCTCCACGTCCTGTTTAAAAGCATTACAGAGCGATCTTTACAAAAGTGAGTGATAGACCTTTTTGCTCTTGGCTTTATGACAGCCCAGTCTCACCATCTCTGGTTTCTCCTCCGGTGAGGGGGGTGGCAGAGGGGCCTTCTCTGCTTTCTGCTGGCACAGAGCCTCCCACTCCTCCAGAGGCGGCATGCAGCTCCAGACATCTGGCAGGAAGATCACCACTGTCTCCCTCTGTGACGGGTCTCCCTGACGCAGATATCTAAACTCAGCAAAACGGAACCTGGAGCATGGGGGGGGGGAGGGAGAAAGAGAGAGGGTCAGGGAATAAAACCTGTCACTGCTAGATCACTCTGAAGACAGCAACAGACCATGACTCCCACCCAAACCAAGTCTCTTGCACTTGCCGTTCAGTCCACCCCGCCAATGCTAAAGACAGAGAACCTCCATCTTCCCTTAGCTGTTACTAACCAACCAAGTCACATGTGAGACCAGGTTTAAGCAAAATAAAAATCAGTTGCCACGGTTACCCACTGCAGAAATTCTATATATAGCCATAATGTAATCAGCCAAACCAATGCACCCAAAGTCCCAGTCCATATCTACATGGATCTGAACAGGCCATTTTTATAGCTCAAAGATATCTCATCATGGAATAGGGATTAATTAGGGACCCAATCCTATTAATGTTGTTTTAATTAACTAAAACAACATCTGTCTGGTGATGTTCTCCTCCTAATACAGCATGGCAAGATAATGATTAACCTGTTGAACTGGAGACATTTATGAAGTCATTGATTACCTTTGGTATATGAAATAACAATGCACTTTTATGTAGAAAACCATGATTAAATCAAATCCACCCTGCTGGATAATGCTATATTTTGGTCTTCTCATCTCTCAAGACAATTAATATACCTATTGTTATGGGGGAGGGTAATACTCACCACTTAGTGCACGCGCTCAGGTCCAGGCCAGTCTGGGCCTTGGTGCAGCGAATGGCTGTGCGAACCAGAACCATGGGATCAGAGTCTGGCTCAAGGCCATCCAGAGAAGGCGACCACTCCCCTCCAATCAGCACAGCTTCATCCTCTTTCCTCCCCAGCAGGAACTAGGGAAGGAGAAGTTGTGAAGCCCAATAATCCTCTGTAAAGGGGGGAATTCCTGCTCCTCCCTACAGATTAACAGCAGCCTCACCTTTATTTGCTTTGTGGGGTGCTCTGGACTCTCCTTCTGTTCGCTGGGCTCTTCAATATATAACAAGCAATGGCGATACAACTCCTCTAGGCCTGGGGAAGACAGCAGCATCACCTGTGGGGACAGCAACACGGTCAGACTGGCACAGATACCCCATAAACCCAGGCACATGGGACCCCATTGCCCTGACTCCCTCACCTTGGCACTGAATGCAGGATCTGTGTCCTCCAGCACATCCTCCTGGGTGGCATCCTCCTCGGTCTCGGGCACCTCCTCCGCAGGGTCAGCCACCAGAATGCGGCTGGGGTGCCTCAGGGTCAGTGGCTGGGTGAGCGGGAATGTGTCCAGCCAGCACAGGCGGACCTCATAGAACTCCCGGGGCAACTGGATGCTGCAGTAGCGTCTCAGGATTTCCATGGCATCGCAGAAGGGGCTGGAGCCAGGCAGAGAGAAACTAGGGCTAGCAGCAGACACACAGAGCCAGTCGCAGCCCCTCAAACAGTGGAATCACAGCTGGCCGGGCGTCCCTATTAGTGCTCTGGGCTCTCACCTGTCCACAGCATAGCGTGCAAAGTAGACCCGGTACTGTGGCGGATCATGGCGTGGCTTTTTCACTCCCCACGGTTCGCCGCCTTTCTGTTTCCGCTTCTTCGAATCAAAGTCGTCCCTGTAACCAGCACAGTGTGCACAGGAATCACGGACTGAAACCTTGATGCAGCTACCTCAAGGGTGGGGAACACAATCATCAGATATCCAGGAGCTTTTAGGGACACACTTTCCACAGTCCTTACCATCTGCCTGAGTCCTGCCTGCCCTTTGGGCCCCGACCAGGGTATCTCCCAAGGTGGCCCAGGTGAAGCGAAGGGGATGACTGGAAGAGGCTCATTGCTAGGGAAACAAATACACAGTCTTATTTCTAAGCCACTCCAAAAATCCAATCCCTGTCTGGACTAACTAAGGCTTGTTCGCTCCAGGAGGTGCCATCCCAGGGCTCCCACAACCCATGCCTGGAGGCAATCAACTTTGTTTCCACCAGCCCATGTCAAGAAGAGGCTGGTGCACATAAACTTTCCTCTGGCCTCATGAGGATGGGGCTTATTCCAGACTTCTTACCCAGTGCTACCAGGACCAATTGCCAACAGGATGGGAAGGGTGTCATTGCTAAGAGGCAATACCAAAATGTCCACAGGACCCTTGCCACTAAGACAGGTGGATCATCCCAGCAATCCCTGTAGCTCCAGTGCTCTAAGTCTACCCCGCATTAGCCGTCAGTACTCACGTTTCTGGGGAAACAGAGGAGGGATCCGGTGAGGCTGGAACAGCAGCTGAGGTTGGGCTCCCAGGATGCCTTGTTTCTGTCCCAAGGATGCCACATGCAGGAGAGGGGTGGGGGCCTTCAGGAGGGGCTATAGAATGAAAGGCATGCAATATTCAGGCCAAGAACTAGCTGCCTCAAGATGAAGCACTGCACCCCAACCCCTGCAGGGTTGGAGAAAGGGGAACAGCAGGGCATAGGCTCACAGGGATCAGCCTCACCCATTGCTAAGGCTGGGATGGGATGCAGCAACTGCTGCTGCCAGATCTAGGCAAATGTGAGCAATGTTCTCTGATCATGGAAAGAGCCTCCTTCAACCCCACACATGGAGAGAACTATAAGGGCTTTAAGTGATACCTGATTGGACAATGTCTGGACTTTCATGGCATTCCAGGGCACCGATTGGCTTGGATTGTAGACAGCTTTCACCAGCACTTTCTCACCTATCTGTGGTAACCGGCCCTTCACAACACTGTCACAAAACACAGAGCAACAAGGCACTGCCGTTATCATTTCACATCAGAGCCCAGGTGTCCTGACTTTAGTCCCCCTCTGCTCTTCAAGGCTCTTGAGATGAGGAAACATACTGATGGCCTCAGGGGTTAGCAGCCAGCACCTTCTTTTGGAAACGCCCTCTTTGCAGCATTGGGACAACACCCAGAAGGAAGTAGCACAAAGGACCAATGAACACAGGTACAGATTTGCATAAGAGGGAAGCTGCTATAAATTTGAGGTGTCTTGCAGAGGACCCCGGGTCTCGTCTTGTCAACATCAGAGCATCGATCCGGATCCGCAGAAGCCCAGCTCCACCCCTCCTCCATCTAACTCACCTGGCCAGTGCAGTTAAGGGGAGCAACTAATTGGTAACAACAACACGACGGAGTGTGCTTGTGTGTGTATGTATATAGGTATGTGAGTGTAATATATATTGTATGCATATGATACAGTGTTAATTAATACATGTATTACTAATAAATGTGGCGTTTTGCCTTATTCCCCCTGAAAAGATCCTGTGCAGTACTTTAAGTACAACACTCGCCTTACCTCAATTGGAAGAAGACCTCTTCATCCACCACCCCAAAGTAGTCATGCAGGCTGGTGACAATGCCGGTAAAGACTCGCTGCTTCTCACCCACCTGCAAGGCAAAGGACCAGCGGGTTCACATCATCATCCCAGCAGGGCAAAGTGGGGACTCACACATCAGCACCATGCAAAACACACAATTGCTGCCATTACGCTCAGTCACCACCTGTGTGCACATCCCACCACACACTGCAGTCAACAGACAATACGTATTCATACAGACAGTCGTGCTCACATTCCATGCACAAATCACTTTACTCTCTCACACACACAGCCAGTATCAGTTCTGGGCAGCCCCTACTATCCCCAGGACTGAGGAACACTGTAGTCAAGTGCTCTGTCACCACCATCTACCCCCTAAGCCTAAAACTCACCTGAACCCTGAAACCCTCCAACTAACAGAAAGGGAGTTTGAGGGCCAGCAGGGCACTAATCCATGAGGCCCTGCTCTCTCTCTCTCTCATGAATGCGCAGCACACAAGTCTTTCCAACCCAGTCTGAGCTGGCCCCATACAGACCCCTTTGGATTTCACTTTCATTTGGTGCATTATGTACAATCAGAGACTGAGGAGACTCTAAAGGGAAATTCCTGCAGCCACATGTACTTGGAGGGTTAGGAATATGTTGGCATGGAGACAAAAACTCTAGGTTGGTCTCTCCAGGAAGTGAGAGACCTTGATGAAACACCAGCTTCCTGAAACAGCTGGGGCTGAGGGAAGGATTGTCCCCAACATACCTGCAGGTGCCGTGCATTCTGGATAAGATCTGCTGAGACAGGAGGGTTTAGCAGGCCAGGTGGAGGTCCCAATAAGGAGGTTGGGTGTGTCCCTAGAATGGAAGAGGGGGGGGGGGAAAGCTCTTTGTTTTTGACCTTCTAAGGGGATGTAGACAGTTCCATGCCCAGCAGGAAAGAGACACCTTGTGGAATCAACTCAAAAGTAGCTCCAATCTGAGCTATTCAGTACCAACCGGTCCAGCCCAGATTACAGGGGGGCAAGCAGGAGAGACATGGACCTGTAATTAGCAGTCCAATTTTCCAGATGCCTAACAGCCAGAGAACCAGATTGACTCACTGGAGCTACCAGAGTTTTCCAGAAGCAATGCCCTGGGAAACTCCTACCCTTAGCATACCAAACTGTGGGGAGTTGGGAGGGAAGATGCTGCCTCTATCCAGCATGCATCTCCTAACTGGGAACCACTGCATCTTTAACAACCTGTGAACCCTTTCACTAAAATGTCATCTCACTTAGAAATATAAAATTTGTTTTTATGACATGCTTATCACACACTATTTATCATTACAAGATTTTTATTGCATTATGAAAATGGGAACACGCTTCCAAGATCTCACTTTGGTAGCTTGTATCACTTAGGAGCCTTGTTTATAACAAGATTATTCAATGTTTCATCAAGACGTATCAGATGTGAAACAGCATGAAGGTATTTAAAAAGCCAACTCAAAGAGTTCCTCCTACACAACCATTCAGGTTGTGAGAAGTCCAGGCAAACAGCGCACATTACAACAAAGCTTAAACTTGTCCTTCATAATAGTTTTTAAAACAATACAATGCCTATTTAATTTTTAAAACAGCAAAAAAGAAAAAAAATATCCACCTCCCTTTCCATTTATTATAAGGCAATTCCAAGGAAGTGGGTATTCACCCACGAAAGCTCATGCTCCAATACGTCTGTTAGCCTATAAGGTGCTACAGGACTCTTTGCTGCTTATAAGGAGTCTTGAAGTTTAAATCTCCTGAATGTGATAGATATGTTTGCTTTGATCTGCTTAGCTCTTGGAAGTCCAGGGGCTCTGGGCTGTGAGACAACCTTATTATCCATAAATAAAATGTGGATAATTCTTAAGTGAGTCAGTGGCAGCACCTAGGAACAGAACGCAGGAGGCCTGGCTCTCACTCTGATTAAATACTTGACTCCAGGTTCCCCAGGAAAAGTGAGGGAAGCCTCATCACTTAGGCCATTTACAATTAGGTCGGGCTACTACTTAAGTCTGCAGAAAACATCCCCAGGTGTCGGGCTAGCTGACCTGAGAACGGCCTCGCTCCCTGCAGGTTGCCAGCTCGCAGAGGCTTCTGACGCTTGAACTGGGCCATTTCGGGTGCTCGGGTTGTTCGTCTTCTCTAGGCGGTAGCTTCGCCTTGCCTAGGAGAGCGAGAGAGACAAAGGCTGCATCACAAATCTGCCCCCCTTGCCAAGAGCAGGGCGCGCCCACACCCCCAGCGGAGCGCTCTCCGGGCCAGACAACCCCCAGCCAGCAACAGTCCTTGAAACCGGCTCCCCCCGCGTACTCCCTCCCCGAGGCCGGGCCCGCTCCCTGAGCCAGGGCGCAAGAGGCGGAACCACCCAGCCCGGGAGAGACGGGACAGAGGCCACCCCGGGGAGCGTTGGGGCCGGGCACTGCCCCAGCCCGGGGGGAGCGGAGGCGCCGTACCGGGGCGGGGATGGACACTGCTCCCCTCACCCTCCAGATTAGGGGGGAGACGCTGCCACCCCCCTCACACCCCGCGTAGCTGCGACGGGGGAAAAGCACCCGAGACCGGAACCGGAACCCACCTGCGGACGGAGGCGGAGCAGGTCCGGGACATACAGGACCCGCGACACCTGGGACAAAGGGACCCGGAAACGCTTCACCGGAAGCCCGCTTTCGCCCGCCCCGGCCCAACCAGAAGGGACCGAGAACCGCCGCACCACCGGAAGTGTTGCTGCCCGGAGCGGCAAACGGAGGCACTAACCGGAAGTAGCATAATCCCTTAACGGAAGAGGGACTGTCCTGACCGGAAGTGTGGCAGGGAGGTCAGGGGATGCAGCCCGCTCTCCCTCCCCCCCCCCATAGCATGTTTTGGGGGCGTGGGGGAGTTGCCTGAACCTGGGCACAGGGGTAACAGCGTGTAATGTGACATCACAGTTATGCATCACTTTGTGAGATGACATCCTGGTGTGCTACCCCACTGACACTGGAGGGACAGCCCTCCCCCCTGGAGGCAATACTGCCCCCTGCAGGCAAAAGTCCTGCAGCACCCTCCCACACTATCAGGTGCAGAAGGAGACACCCCTCCTCTCCAAACCCCACCCAACTGTGCATCACAAAACACATCCCCCTCCCCGTAGCTGCCTTACTCAGCTCCCCCCACCCCCCAGCGCCCGCAGTAGCCAGGGCCGGATTAACTTTTTGTGGGCCCGGCCCCAAACATATGTGTAGATCCCCCTAGGGAATGAAGAGGATGGGGGCAAGAGCACAGCAGGCAGGGTGGATTTGATTTAATTCAATTCATTATTTAAATCACTAGTTAGGAAGACTCAATTTAGTCATGGGTTTCTACATCAAAGTCCATTCTTGGTGGTTGTTATAACCTTAAAACCTATTCTTCGCAACTCAGAGATAGATTTAGGTTTTGTTTTTAGAAAATACACACTATACATTTTTAAACAGCGATTTATTTTGAAAACTTTTCAGATGAGTTTTACAGCTATATCAGAAAATGAATGATTGTTTGGTTATTTCATTTACCAAAGATAATTGAAGCAGATATTTATGAAGTCATTGGGAGGTGAACTATTTCCAATTCAACAGGTTAATCATTAATATTTGGAGGATTTTCTTGCCATGCTATATTAGGAGGAGAACATCAGCAGACAGACAGACATTTAAAATTGTTTTATTTAATTAAAATAACAACATTAAGTATTCTGGATTTTTTTCCTTCAACAGTAGGGTTACCATATTTTAGTTTTTAAAAAGGACGACACTCCACAGGGGCCCGCCCCAATTCCGCCCCTTCCCCGCCCCAACTCTGCCCCCTCCCCTGAATGCTCCACCCCCTGCTCCTCCCCCTCCCCTGCTTCCCGCGAATCAAATGTTCGCGGGAAGCCTGAAACAGGGAGGCAGCAGGTAAGCTGGGGCTGGGGTGAGGACAGGGGCAGGGTGCGGTGCGGCGTGGCCCAGTCCAGCCCCCCTGGCCGAGCGGCTCCCTTTGGCAGCCGGCCGGCCCAGGCCAAGAGGCTCTGGCCCCGGCGTCTCCCATGCGGCTCGGCTCAGGCCCTGGGGCGCCGGCCCCCGGCCGAGCACTCCCAGCCCCGGCCCCGTCCAAGCACCGCCGGCCCTGGCCCCCACCCCATCCCGGCCCCCAGCTGAGCACCCCCGGGCCCTTCCTCCCTATTTTCCCGGACATGTTTCGCTTTTTGGGATTTCCTCCCGGACGGGGATTTGAGGCCCAAAAAGCCGGACATGTCCAGGAAAATCTGGACGTATGGTAACCCTATTCAACAGCAAACATAATATTTTAACAAAAAAACATACGTCTCTCACTTCTCACATTTATCTCCAGGTTTCTCATTTATGTCCAGATCTATTCTGCCCACAACAATCTTCTATTCATTGAACTTTTTGAAACTTTCCACTTTTAAAGAGAGGTAAGGGGTTGACCCTGTGTACACAAATTTGCAGAGGGACAGTAGAGTTGAGATCTGTTATTTCTCACCTCTATACATTTATTTATTTAAAAACATTTTTGCTGTTAACAAGCATGTTACCTCACGTGGACACAAATCCACAGTTTGAGAACTGCAAAACTAAGCATCCATCTTTGATGGTATCTTCTAGACTGAGCACTGAGTCCCATGGGGTAGATAGAAAAATTAACCTAAATAATCTATACAGAAGTCTGTAGAACCCCATAAGATTGGGTCCCTAAGCCTGTAGAACTGATTAATGAAATTGTTTTTAATTGTTCACTTTATTAATGTAACTTCATAAGTAAAGTTTTATGAATTAAACAACATTCATTCATAAAACTGGTTACCCCAATAACTGGCTAATTGACAATTAAAATGCTTGTTAAGAGCCATAGCTGTTCAGCCAGTTGCCCTTGTAAGTTTCACTGTCATTCCAATTCCTGCTTAAATCACTGAGACTTGCACTGTTTCAGTATTGTAACTTCTGTTCATTGTTTGCCATTCATTACACTTGCCTACTTCTGTTCACTGTTTGCCATATTGTAATTCAAACTCCATTTTACCACACTTACTCCATTTTGTAAAAGCTTGCTGCAACCTTCATTTTTGCAAAACTCTGCTGTAAGCTTATTAGTTTAGATGAGATGTGTGAATGAGGCATGTATGGATGATGGAATCAACCTCCAGCACCAGCCTGTCCTGATGAAACAGAGTTCAAACACCAACGGCTGAAGATGCAGACAAGAACCCTAACAAAGTAAGAAGAGTCCACCCTAAGAAGAAAAGAAAAAAAGAAAAAAGGTACAATAGAAGGAAGATCAAACCCAGGCTGAAAATCACGTCTGCAATCGACGGGTAATCAATCACACCAAACCCAGAGGCAGCAGCAAGACCTATAGACTCTGGATTCAAACTAAAGCCTACAAAAAGGATGGGTGAGATGGAAGACTTGGAAGGGTAACGTTCTGCTGCCAACATGGGAGGGCAGACCCAGCCCTTGTGCCCGGCTTTCCTGGCCACTTAGCCGCCACAAGCTACAATCCCAAGCTGCGAACTCAAGCCACGAACTCAAGCTATATTCAGAACTGGTAACTATACAGAAGCTGCAGAACATCTAATGTGTGTGTATGTGTATATATAAGTATTAAGGTATTAGCTAGTGGTTATAGATCAAATATTTATCATAATAAATGTGGCATCTTTGCCTTGCCCCCTGAAATGATCCTGTGTAGTTTTGTCTGCATAACAAGCCCTGAACTATTAGAACTCATTTACAAAACTTTTCTTAAAACATTACATGAATATAGTCTCATACTATAGAATCAGAATTTATAATCCCTATTCCATGATATAATGTATCTTAATTAAAACTATCTTTAGATTGGATTTAAATTTTAAAAAATCTGATTTTTTTTGAGTCATTGATTTTTATCCACCCTGACAGCTGGGCATGGTGTGTGGGGGGGAAGGATTGGTTCCCAGCTGGAGCAAGGGAGGGGCCAGGGGTGAGAGGAGCATGGGGGGAGGATTAGTCCCTGCTAACTGGAGCAAGGCAGGGGCTGGGGGCAAAAACACAGCGGGGCGGGAGCTAGGGTTGGTCGTTGGAGCAAGGGAGGGTCCGGGAGTAAACTACAAGCACAGCAGGGCTGGAGAGAGGGTAAACAGGACCCCCCCCCTCACCCCTGCCCACATAGAGTGGGTACCTACCTTCTCCCTGGTTCTAGCCCATTCTCTTTGCCTCTCTGCACCGAGCTGAGGGTGGGGGTACAGGGTCTAGGAGGGAGATAGGGTGCAGGAGCTGGCTGGGGGTTGGGGTCTGGCCAGGAGCTAGAATGAGGGAGGGGGCTCAGGGTTGGGGCAGGAGGTTGGGGTGTGGAGCACCTACCTGGGGCAGCTCCCATTCAGTGTGAGGGGTGCAGGTGGGTATGTGGGGGGGGGAGGGTGCAGGAGCTCCCATTTGGTGCTCAGGGTGAGGGTTGGGATGTGGGGGGGTGCAGGGGTCAGGGCTGGGGTTGTGGGGGTGCTCCCAGCCCCCTGCCCTGAGCAGTTCACAGCAGGGGGCTGGAGGGGGTATGCCCCGATTCCATCCCCTTTCCCAAGGCCCTGCCCCCACCTCTTCTCCACTTCCTCCTCTCTCTCCTGAAAGTTATTAAATGTTCAACGCCAAGGAACAGAGGGGGTAGAGGACTGAATTTTCCACAGCCTACCTCACAAAATATATCACCACTTTACCTTTAGTAATTATCCTTTTGAGGGGAAAACCGGGCACTTCTCTCTTTTTGCAAAGTCCTGTTACCTCTTTCAGCTAAAGAAAACTTGTGAGTGCTGGTGATGCAATAGCTCTTTACCGCTCTCCCCATTATAGCGGTGGGGGATGAGTAAAGGTGGGGGTGCAGTGTTAAGGCCCCCGTGCCCCCAATGCCTGCACACTTCAGTGGACAGAAGCTGCTGTTGGAAGGGGCATTTCCCTCACTAGTGTTAAGCCGTCAATGCTCCCAGGACTTGGAGGGACAGAGGGGCTGCTACTCTAGCCCAGGCTGGGGCTGGGAGGAAGGACACGGCCGTAGCATCACCCCTCCAGCTACTGGTACAAGCCACCGTGTACCCCTTGTGCTTATAGAGGGAGGAGGGTGAACACCGCTGATGAACTCCAGCCAAAGTAATTTCCATCAGTAAGCCAGGGGTAGGACACAGCCCATTTCTCCGCCTAGAGCAACCACTCATGGGAGTTACCAAAAGCGGTCACCTCTCTTCAAAAGCTTGCACACCAGATAGCAGTGATGGTCCATGGCCTCTACCCATAGGCACTCGTGATAGGTGGTCTCTCACAAAGGTTTTACTGTAGATCTAATTCTAGAGGCCAGTAAGCCCTTTGGGAATTCGCTCCTTGGACTCTCAAAGGCTGGCCCGGCCCTGGCCCAACTTAAATCTTTCCCTTAGCTCTGGCAGATGGATCCTACCGCTATCCACCCCACAAAACTGACCCATTACGTCTCTTAGCCCAAGTCAGCTTTAACAATCACAGCACCTGTGCCTTACTCCCTGCCCAGGAAGGGATAGCAGGTGAGCTGCTACGAATAGCCATTACCCCTACATCATAATCACACTAAGACCATATGCAACCTGTTAATTGAAATTATTTATGCCTTATTTTAAGCAAGTATTTAATTCATCCCAAATCCTTTCCCCATGTACACAGATAAACATTTAACCATGCAGGAGGTTGAGCAATAAATGGAGTGCATCTCGAAC